TGGGGCAGGTAGATGAGAATGTCGGCACGAGCTAAAACTGGGGAAGGCACAGGTAGGTGAGTGGGAAGGCACGGGAGAAGGCATTGATAGACAACAGGAAAGGCATGCGAGGGAAGGCACAGGTAGACGAGTGGGAAGGCATGGGAGAAGGCATTGATAGACAACAGGAAAGGCATGCGAGGGAAGGCACAGGTAGATGAGAGGGAAGGCACAGGTAGATGAGAGGGAAGACACAGGTAGATGAGAGAGAAGACAGGTAGATGACAAGAAAGGTACAGGTAGAAAACAGGAAAGGTACAGGTAGATGAGAAGAAAGGCACAAGAGGTTGAAGGCACAGGTAGACGAGAGGAAAGGCACAGGTAGACGAGAAGAAAGGCACAAGAGGTTGAAGGCGCAGGTAGACGAAAGGGAAGGTGCAGGTAGATGAGAGGAAAGGCACAGGTAGACGAGAGGAAAGGACAAGAGGTTGAAGGCACAGGTAGACGAAAGGGAAGGTGCAGGTAGATGAGAGAAAAAGCACAGGTAGACGAGAGGGAAGGCACCGCTTAATGCAAGGTATGGGAGATGAGTGGGAGATGAGAAGCAGGCATAGGTAGGAGATGTGGAATGTACTGGTACAAGCAAGGGTTTCAATACGCTCCTCCATCTCTGCTGTGACTGGCCTGATCTGGGAGCAGGGTTCAGCTGCACTGTTTACGTGCCACCAAGCTGGCCCTAGTCTACAGATTTCATTGATTCTTCATACATGCCTCAGGGCTGCTTCATTGTGCAACATCACATGTCATCTGGAGCTACTACAGCAATTCTGTCCTACAAGCTGTGTGCAATTAGTCAACCTTTAATGTACCATTTATGTCAGTATGTCATATAGAGAAACATGGCATTTAAATCTAGGCCTACAATTACAAAGCACATCCTAATTTGTTGTTAATTACACATGTGATAAGTATTGGGTAACATTCATTATTTAAATTAATTAGAAATACCCCCATTTTAGCTGATTAAATACAATGGCAAGTATCCATGTCAAACAGTCCTTACCACCGAGTTCATCATAACCTTGACATCAATAAACAATTAAACAGAATGTCAATAAACAATTAAAAAGAATGTCAATAAACACCAGACAGGAATGTACATGTGTGATAGGTTCTTATAACTGTTCATTTAGGGATTTATCTGTGATTCAAAATTCAAAGCTCTTGGCAGCGATTTCATGGGAATTATTTTGTTCAAATTTGGGATTTCTTTTAACATTCTTGGTTTCCTAAATTCTGAAGCATTCTAACATTGAATTTCAACATTTGATTTAAGTCAATTAGGCTAAACTCTTCCTCTATTTTGGTCATCTTGTCAGTGTCGTCACCTCTACAAAGATGTAACAGGAAGACATAGGAAATGTTTCAATACATTAAGAGATTTTAACGACACTTGCCTCAGGCCAAAAGTCTGCTTCTAATAAACATCTATATAGATTTCTGTTTATTAACACATACATTGTATCATCTAAATCAAAGATTTAATTAATTCAGAATACATATCAGATTTAGTCTTAGGCCTAAAAAACTGTTGTGGTTCCGAATACATACCGACACTTGAATTCTGGTGGTGGTCCAATATTTTAAAATAGTATGAATAGAATAAGATTCAGATACCATTGTTATTTCCTGGCACCAACGGCCATCGGCCATTCTCATAGAGAAGGTCGACATGATGGCCGCAAGAGTCATTGAATAAACAATCACTCATTGATAAATGTGTTATTACTTAATACTTTACTTTAATCAGAACCACAACATTATGTTTATTTGGCCTTAACTATCATAATCCTTAACAATTGTCACTGTGATTCTTCAATACAAGCTTTCACTAATCCTTCCTGTACAACTCAAACAAGACAAGTGGTTTTTGCTCATTGCGGTGATTCAGTGACACAGACAATTATCGTCTTAAAGGTCACCGTATACCAGAATAGAACAGAGGAAATTACTTCATCCTTGGCTTGTAATGTGTGCCATTTCCTCCTATACATTTGTCACTTTCAGTTATGCCTTCATGACGTGTTATGTGGTTGTGAAAAGGGGTTACCATATCATTATTTATCCAATTTTAAATGGATACAATTTCAAACTATAAATCTACGTTTAAGTAAAGTTGTGAATTTTTGTGATTCTTAGCAAAGTGTGAGTAGTATATGCAACACATATACCACTAATCACTGAGTCTTACCTCCGATGTCATTCAGTTTTACGTGGTCAAAACGTAATGTGATCATTCTTTTACAAACCTTGTTACTCTTAAATAAATATGAGTGAGTTTAGTTTTATGTAAATAATCAAGTCTGGACCAGACAGTCCTAGGATCAACAGCATGAACACCGATCTACGGAACTGGGATATGATGACGTGCCAACCCATTGAAATCTTTTTAACTTCCTATCAAAAATATATTTTCACCCTTAAAAGCCTTATACATCATGATATGAATCACTGTGTATGAGAAATTACTTGAAGAATTCTCAAAAGGTTGGTCAATCTGTTATAATTGTACTTGATTTTGTGTAATCTTCTCTGACCTATACTATTATATAGCTCATTATTCCTCTAGCTTTATACAAAAAATACCAGACTGATATCGATATGGATCATGTTTAAGACCAAGCCCAATCGAATAAAGTGTCTTGAATTTCATACACCATACTTACTTCTACTCATCTACTCAAGTTTGTTCAGCTGACAGCTGTTCAAAAACTATCTCATATTTCTGTCATCAAATTATCTCAAAACATATTATATATGAATCTGCTGCATTCAGCATAAAGTATTTGGACATTTACTGACAAATAAATTAATGTAGATCAAAATAGGTTACCATGGTTACCCATCAATCTTCAGTAACCCATGCTTGTCTCTACTCATGAAAATCCAGACTACAATTGGTCTTCAACCCATGCTTTTCATAAGAGGCAACTAACGGGATCTGGTAGTCAGGCTCGCTGACAAGGTTGACACATGTCATCGTATCCCAATGGAATAGATCAATACTCATGCTGTTGATCACTGGATTGTCTGACAGTCACCATATAACTGTGCAGCGTTTAACAGCAAACCAAACCAACATAAAGTATATGATCTACACATTCAAACAAATGTACAATCAAGTTGAGTGATGACATTGTTCATTATATACTGGCTGAACTTTGCAGTAAACATGTTACCTTTGCGGTATAATGTCAAGGCACGGACGTAGGTGAGGTGAGGTGAAATTGGGTTTAACATCGTGCTTGAGAATATTTCGCTCATATGACGACGTGCATGAGTGTGTATGTGTATGTGCGACTGCTTTTACTAGCCCAGACTTAAGCTGGTTTTATAGTGCTAGCCCACTGAGATACCATTCCGCAATGAAACATGAATACCCCACTCAGACACCTTATACTGACTCCGAGCCGACCAGCCCTTGTTGTACCCATTATGTCGAGAGCCAGGCAGGGACAAACAAGTACCATATTTTTACGTCTTTGCTATGACACGGTCGGGGATCGAACCCGCGACCTTCTGCTCTCCGGGCGGACGCTCTAACCACTACACCACGGAGGCGGTCCAAGGACGTAGGTAAATATGCAGGCACAAGATAGGGTGCTTGAGTCAATGAGTGAGTGGAGATGAGCCTTCGACAAAAATCTCACCCCATATCTCATATCTGTGGTGATCACTGTTCACACATTAAAGCCACAGACACAAAAACACTCCCTAACTTCACGAATATTTCTCACATCAGTCTTGTAGATCTAAGCCCAATTTCCAAAATAGAACCTATTTGAACATGATGATGCTATCTATTTCTCAACCCAGAACTTGAAATACAATATCTCAAACTCCAATACCAAGTTTAAAATGAGCTGTATCACTCTTAATCTCTCTCAAATTCACAAAACAGAATGATATGTAACAGTGCTTAAAGAAGCAATCAAGTGAGGAGGCCATAAACTGCTGTAATCAACTTGCTTGCCTACGTCGTCAATCAACCAACAACACCCCATCTTAACCACCAGACTACCCACTCACTTTTATCAAGTGACCTGACTTCATTCCCATTGTTTCAGCACATCACAGCCAGGCCAAGCAAATATTACGTTTAAGGTGTAATGTGTAATGTTTCAAAAGATGGCTTTAATTAAGATAAAACATACACAAAAGCGAACAAATGCAAAACGATTCCTGTTTATGGATAAATTAAAGCAGGTCAGGATGGGAAAGAGGGGATTCTTTCAACTTAAGAGTTCAATCAGAAAACATAAGTTGCACTGCCGAACTATGAACAAAGTGAAAAGATCAATGTCGACCCTCTTCAGTTCTTAACCTGCAGCCGCAGAGGTCTGACGTGTTCTGTTGACGCACAACACTGCCTGCTGACGGACCATGACAAAACAAGCTCCCGGTACAACCCCAGCCATCACAGGAATACCACCAACTCTCATCGATGATGCTTCAAGCAGGTCATTAAGGGATGTGTTTATCAGGCTGCCCAACCTATTAGACAGAGTCACATGGTCAACTGTGTACACGCAGTTGCTCAAACAAGGCCAATAAACCCAACACTAGGCAGAATAGCTTCACGGTTCTCATGGCAAATTAAGTTCAGTTTGCAGATTAGCCAATCCTGAACTAATTTGTGAAATTATTACATATCTATAATTGTATTAAGGTCAGAACGGGTTCTTATTGCCCATCTTAGTGTGACAAAGTATATATTAATGCATTAGCTCTTTAATCATGTCATCAGATTGAACATCTTATACTTCAAAGGAGTCATGAAACTGCTTGGAGTGTTGTCAATAATGCTAAAAAACATTGAAAACAGCTAATAATTTAAAGATTAGGTATAAGAGACCATTTGAACTTTGACATATGACTGTGACAGTATATCGACATCTCATTGACAACCAGCTATTTTCTTGATGTTAAATTATAGCACTGGCAAAAAGATATGCTAGTAGGAGTGAGTGAGTGAGTTTAGTTTTACGCCACTTTTAGCAATATTCCAGCAGTATCACGGAGGGGACACCAGAAAAGGGCTTCACACATTGCTAGTAGGAGATCTTCACATGCATAACACAGTAATTAATTTTTCTTGGGCATTATGTCAGTTTACTATCAAACTTACATATTTTTAACTATTTCTTCAGGATATTCTGTACAGACAAAACATTTCCAATCAAAATTGTCTGTTGTGTCTTAACAATTAGACTGCTTAATTGTGGGAAAGAGGGATTTTTTCTTAGTTTCTTGTAAGAAAATGTTCAAGTGGCATATGTCCACTGGTGTCAATGGATGCGAGTCCCACAAATCAGAACGGTTTGGCTGGATGTAACTGTGTACTTTATCAAGTAAAGAAGGATTGAAATGCCACAGTACATGGGTTCTTACTTATTACAATGAATCCAAGGGAATTGAAATTATGTTGATTTTCTTCCCCTAATGTTATAGGTACAATGTGTGAAGCCCATTGCTTGTGTCCTCTGCTGTGATATTGCTGGAATATTGCTAAAAGCAACACAAAGCCTCCCTATCTCACTTATAAATCTAAATGGGTGCTGGGATAGCCTAGTGGTTAAAGCGTTCCCTCGTCACACCAAAGACATGGGTTCGATTCCCCACATGGGTACAATGAGTGAAGCCCATTTCTGGTGTCCCCGCTGTGATATTCGCTGGAATAAAACTATGCTCACTCAAAATGATGAAAGGTGGGTTTGGACGGAAATCTAATTACTACTAATATATTAGGGATTGAAGAGGGCAATAGCAGTTGTATAAAAGTTTACTCCATTTACCAAGTGTATATAAGTACCTGTCAATAGCACCTGACCTCAGTGAAAATGCATGTATTGTATGCATACATATATCCAAGCTGACTGATGATGAACAGAGACAGCTGACTGCCACCTAATTACTAATTCATTTAGTGTTGTAATTAACATGTGTGAGTAACGATGACTATCATATTACCACCAGCAGGCACGGCAACACACCCTTGTGTTCGCACCATCAGCACTTGTAACCTACCTCTATTGTCAACAGCGGAGGATCAATATACTACCACACTAACTGCACCTACTGAATTCCTGGTCTATGAGTACACAGATATTGTACGCTGATACTGCTCCAGTGTTCCACAGTGAATGAGTATGGAATACCGATATACCTTAATGATAAACGAAGGCAGGAAAATGTCCATACAAAAGAACCGGAGAATTTGTCTGTTGTGTAAATCTGCATTTGAGAATGAAATCCACTTTGTTAGTTTGTCCATCCTACTCCATTCTTAGAAGCAAATACATTCCGCACCCGTTTTTGTCAAAGACACCTGCTCTAGCTTTTAAATCCTTAATGTCTTCTCGAAATACTGTTATTCTTAATTTGTATTTATCAAACATAGTATGAGATTAAGACTGACTGAGTTTGGTTTTATGCCCCTATTAGCAATATTCCAGCAACATCACGGCATGGGACACCAGAAATGGGCTTCACACATTGTACCCATGTGGGGATTCGAACCCGGGTCTTCGGCGTGACGAGCCAACACTTTAACCACTAGGCTACCCCACCGCCCCTGAGATTAAGAAATGAACTGTTAAACAATTTAAACGAAGTTTTACAATTGATTGTCATTTTTTTCTCTCCATTATGTGTAGTGTATAATTCTGTATATTGTATATTATCTGTATATTGTATATTATCTGTATATGGTATATTATCTGTATATTGTATATCATTTACAAATGTGTATTTGTATGTGGGCCGGAGGCCTTAAATACGTTTTTAGCAATATTCCAGCAACATCACGACATGGCACACCAGAAATGGGCTTCACACATTGTACCCATGTGGGGATTCGAACCCAGGTCTTCGGCATGACGAGCCAACGCTTTAACCACTAGGCTACCCCATCGCCCCACTTTGTTTTGAAGATCCAGAATAAATTTTCACCTTGTCAGTGTTACATGTTGTAATAAGTGGTCCGATTTTGAAAAAGAAATGATTCATGTAACACTGAATTAACTTGGTAAAGGTGAGACGAACATATAGGATGTTAAAACTGGGGTGTGTCCCCATGCACGATCTCAGGTCTGTTAATGGCGACTTGGAAATTTGTGTTTATTCCATCAAAATAATTGTGAACTTACTTGTTCATACATCAAATTTCGGAAAAACAAAAAAGTGATTTAAAATAATTCAAGACTGACCTGAGACCAGTTTGCAGGATTACCCTAAAACATTTCATGACATCACTTATTAGCTGCATGAAGTGTTTCACTATGGAGAACAAAACCCTGCCAACTGGACATAAAATACTTGTACGATGGCCAGTCCATGTATAATTGATAAAGAATTCACACTGCAGAATAATCACCTAAATAACTCCTGCAAGTGAGTTTAGTTTTACGCCGCTTTTAGCAATATTGCAGCAACAACATGGCGAGGGACACCAGAAATGGGCTTCACACATTGTTGCCATGTGGGGAATCGAACCTGGGTCTTCGGCGTGACAAGCGAACACTTTAACCACTAGGCTAACCCACACACACACACACCAATTCCTGTAAGAGCCAGATACATTGAGGATAGTGTGACCATGATCTGTACGTCTCTATGATTTGTCGTGATTTCATTTAATTAGACCCTGATTGCACAGGATGTTGGTTTTGTTATCAACATGTTTTGGTGGTCCACACTTATTTACAATCCACTGTAAACACCATACAGTGCAGAGTTCACTGTGCAATAACCAAACAAAGGCCCTGTATGATAAATATTATTCTACATTGCCTCTTGCATAACGATATGTTTTGAAAACAAACAAGCCAAATAGACTACCTTCAATATTCGCAAGAATCAAAGTAATACCAGTCAACATGTGTTTACATGGTGCACCTGCCTGTGACCTTCCCGAAGTCAACAGGTAATTCTTGTGTACACTGACAAATAACACACTTCAAACCCAACCCCATGGCAAGTCGATGCGCGACAAGTGTCATTCCGTGCTCAATACAAGCTACCCACACACAACAGCCCGGCTAATTGAGTTGTCAGTTGTGAATATACAACATAACATAAGCTGAAGCCTCTGTTGCAGATGCTGTAAAACACCTGGGTACAAAACAACCTTAGCGCTAAGATTACCTTAGTCTATGTTAAGGCATTGGAGTTATGGTCACCTTGGCACCAAAATCGCTTGGCTGGGTGCACCTACATGAGTGAGTTTAGTTTTATGCCAATTTTAGCAATATTCCAGCAATAACACCAGGAATGGGTTTCATGCATTGTACCCACATGGGGAATCGAACCCGGGTCTTCGACGTGACGAGCGAACACTTTAACCACTATGCTACCCCACCTACATGACTGACTGAGTTTGGTTTCACGCCGCTTTTAGCAATATTCCAGCAACATCACGACGGGGGACACCAGAAATGGGCTTCATACATTGTACCCATGTGGGGATTCGAACCCGGGTCTTCGGCGTGACGAGCCAACGCTTTAACCACTAGGCTACCCCACCGCCCCCATCTACATGAATATTCAGCAGCATGGAATCAGCCATGTCAAGTACACTACTGTCTACTGGAACTGTGTACACAAGCTAAACTGTTTTGTAAACAATACCATTTGAAGACTTGATAGACAATTAACACTATGACTATTCATTATGAAACAGGCAACTTTACAATTGAAATACCAGCGATGTGTGCCAAGAGTTGTGAACACAACAGATAGTTGATTTATTTGTCGGACAATGCAACAATACTGTTACACATTGTTTATATTTCTCCTTACATAATATTGTGTATCACTTGCTTGATAACATGTCGCACCCATTGCAATAAAGAAGTTGTCGATCCATCAAAACTGTCCCTCTTCATTATACCAGCTTCTGAATACCACTTAAAGAAGTTGTTATACATTAGTTGATAGTATTCAAGCCTTTGAGAATGTTTCCTGTGAAATGTTTCTTTTAATAAATAAATTTTGGAAATTATTACTTGAAAAAACATTAAAATATTTTTGAAAGCGTAAAAAGGACTAAACTTGAGAAAGGTAGAACATTTGACACCAGATAAAATATAATGGGGAAAGCAATGCTACAAACCAAATTGCCATCAATGTTTTGTAAAAAAACAAACCTCAAGCAAATGTCAACATCATTTCAAATAGGAAATTCAATTACCAATCCATTCTTATTACTTTTTATCATGATATTAGAAACGATTTGAAAAATACAGTGGCAAAGTGTCAGATCCTACATAAAAATCATTTGAGTAATGAAGGTTCTGAGTGTTCATACTTGATAAATTTATGTTTTGAGTCTTTGAACGGCATTAAGAGGTGATGCATGATAAAGGCAAGTACATGTACATATATAGCTGTCTGTTTCATAGCCTTTCATTCATCTGATGAAGGAATAAGAATATACTCTGAAATGTCGTCCATCAAAATATAGAAGTTGACATCCATAAATTCTTGCTTTAATTTATGTTTTACTTACAAGTATGTCATAATTTTTATGCTTATGGAAATTCAAGTTAAATCATCACAACCACCAGTGTTTGTCTCTCTGCAGTGAAAAAAGGTGTGGTGTTGTCAGTAATCCCAACGATGACAAACCCCTGGTGTGCACTCATACAGGATTAGCCAAAAATGTGTGTTACACATAAGCTACATGACTAATCGGAATCTGATATGAAGATCAAGGTGGGATAGAAATAAATACATATTGAAAATGTCATATGAAATCGGTAAGGGGGTACTAGTGTTAATGGTGTCTCGAAGTCTGGTTTAATAATTTACCTTGACCCATAAATCTGTTCTACTTTACCACTTGACTTCAATGTTGTTTAAAACTTTATACACATGATTATTTACAAATATCATCAAGACACAGCTTATATTCAGCTTAAGTCAGGTCCCCATCGTCATACTACTGCCATAATTAGTCAGGTTTGTCCAAGCATGAACATGATGAAAGACAGATAGCATCACCATGTAAACACAAGGATGACTAATGATTATAGATCTATAAGAAATAGTCATCACTAGAATAAGGGTGATACCAGCAATCAAACCAGAGAGTCAGTAATTATCAACAACAGGGAACTGAGTCAACTGTGTATATCTTCATTACAGAAATACACATGTACAACAATGATGAAAAATCTGTGACAATGTACGTGATGTACTTGAAGTTTGAAAAACTGGCCGATACGACTGTTATCGCTGTTTGAATTCTGACTGTTGTTATTGTTTGAACATTTCATAGTAAATATAACACAAATTTACAAAAATCTTTTGACAGCAGCTATCATCACTATTTGAATTCTGACTGTTATTGTTTGAACATTTCATTGTAAATATATCACACATTTACAACAATGCTTTGACTGCAGCTGTACAGGTGAACATTTAGGGAGTTATAAGATTTTCTCACAAATCAGCTGTTTCAGACTACAATCGCCCTACATAATGTCACTAGCAGATCAGTTCAATTTGGGGTTGTGTTCACGCTTAACCAGCAAAGTGCAAAGGAACTTGACACTGTTTCTTCTCCTTTTTATTAGAAAGGTGAAAAAACCCAACCAACCAGACTGTGCAGATAATGTGACATGCATTCAGTATGGATGAACGGGTGTATATAAAAGGTATAGCATGGACTGAAGACGATTATGGGCCTAGTTCACGACAGACGTCTGAGTTGGGGGAAGAATGCAAATGGGAGATAATGTACTGCACAGGGCAAGTTATATTTAGCCACATGACATACTTTCTCAGTTGGAACACGTTTGGCAGATTAGCCCAAATATTTGTTATACTTTCTTCAACTATGAACACAATCTGAGTAAAACTGTACCTGAATTGACCTTAGTACTGTGTTAAGTGACTAAATATGATGATTCAGTACAGTTGATGAATCTGCCAACCCACATTGCCCTTAGCATCGAGTGCATCATTTCACAACAAAGGCGAACCACGACAGCCCACTCGGGAAGCCAAATACAGCGTTTTACTAGCATATTTCGCCCCAATCGAATACACAGACACGCGAATATTGACTGTACATACCCGCCAGTACATTTTCACATAGAGTTTCATTTACATTGTGTATGTAATTGGCGATTTTATGTCAACGTTTCACACAAAGAAGCTCGACAATGGAATGCAACCAACTTACCATACAACACCAAACGCCCCGTATCCAATGGGTCTGTCTGGTTGAGCGTCTTGGGCAGGAACCACTTGATAGTATGGTACAGCCACTGCCGCTGCCAAAATCGCCCCTTGGGTGGGGGTTTGGGCGGGTCCCCCTTGGAAAGACATCATGTGTCGAGAGTTATGTCGCTGGCCAACCACCGCCATTGCCTAAGTCACCCAGCGCTAGGCTGCCGAAAAATTATATGAATTGCAGGTTTTATCACGTATGCATGTCCAAAAGCGTGGTTTTCGGTTAGATGGAAGTCTCTCCTAGTCCTATGGAGAGTTTGGTGGCTATATGTGGGAGAAAACCAACAAAATAAACCGAAGATGTGGAGACCAACGGAGCACTGACTCACACGCCGATTCAGCGAAGCCAGCACACAAAGAGGGTCACGTGACCACGCGCTGCGTTCCCAAGATTCGCTACATCGAGGCTTCCTTTTGAGGTCCCTATTATTTTAGGCATTCCTTTGAATTTATGTAGGTAAATGATATCAATGTAAACAGAGTCAACTTCATCACTGCATATTGTTCCATGGGAGATGTATATATAATCTACATCGGCCATTATGATAAAATATTTATTTATTATCATAAATGAATGTTAGAGTGTTGTTATTGTGCCGATGTGTTTACAACGTCAGAATTATCCAACAACTCACTGAATGAAAGAGACTTGAATGAAAAATTCAAATGTCGTGTTTCAAACTACGTATTTGCTTGAGAAAGATTCCAAGATTTTAACATTATTTACTAAAGCTAATTTAAGCTATTAATAGGGAGGTTATCGGGTTTTGTTCTGTTAGATTCTGTCACCCAATGAAATAGGTGGGGGCGGGGATGGGGTGGGGGGATGTTGACAGCTCTAACGGATTGTTTATCAAACGGTTACGTCAGCCCGAGGATCCTCAGTTCGAATCCCAACATAAGGTCACCGAGTTCATTTTCGTATACTCTGTCGTGATGTGATCAGACGTCTGATCACAGCGGCTGTCCGCTTACACAAGACTAACGCTTAGTCTCCGAATATATTTAATTTTGATACAAACGATTCGTCTCAATTGAAGCCTCAGTGAGAGTTGAGATTCAGAACCCGAGACTTTTCTTTTAGGGCTTTAAAATTGCGGAAAGGGCACGGCAGAAGGGAGAACAATGTGGTTCTGGGACTGCGAGACGGATTGCGCTCACACATACGCGTGATGGTGACTGTTACTAGTCTACACAGAGTCGCCCGGACCCTGTAGAATATATCGCATAAAGGAGTTCATCTCAAGTCTGTAATGACTTGACACATCTAGATCGATCAGCACAGGGAAATAAAAATTGTTTTGGGTTCATTTTGGATTTATATATACTCATGCCAATAATGGTTGTCACCCCCCTCCCCACCCCAACCCCACACACACCTCACACCCACACCCCACACCCTCTCACCAATTAAAAAAATTGAAGGGTTGACAACCATTATTGGCATGAGTATATCAGATGTAATTTTTCATGGTTACTTTTAAATAAGATGGCTTTATTTCCGGGACTGAATATCAGTGCTGTTTTCGTATATACGCTTTACTAGCGGGTGAGGTAGTCAGCCATACAGACCCTGAAACAAATATATATCCAAGAAAGCATGTCTAGATTTCCACAGTTTCAGGAAATCAACATGACGAAAGTCTCTGGGGCTCCTTTTCATTATATTTCATGATTATTTTTTATAAGCAGTTTTTTTTCTGTAAAATATGTTCATTTCAGAGACTAGATGTTAGTCTACGGATGAAGGTATCATTCAATTTGCTTTAAGAAAGCTAGCAATAACTAGAATGAAAGATTTTATTAAATTGAATATTTTCTATCAAATGGACTAATTGTCCCTTCTATCAGCAGATGCACATCACTGTTATAATCGTCGTCATGGTGATGATGATGATCATCATCTCTATCATCATCATCATCATCATCATCATCATCATCTCTATCATCAACATATTAATGATCTCAAGTATTATTACAAAACACGAGGAATATGACAATCACAGAATCATAATTCGCTACATATACACACATATTTACTAACCATTTTCAGTCGAAGTTTTGTATTTAGAATAGATGTCAATTGTTATTAAAAGGACTCTGTTAACATATTAGGAAATGAATACATTTCTATTGGAAAATACGACACTTAAGTCCAGTATTGCCTCAAAGAAGTCAATTTCGATTGGAAACACTACTTGATTGCATTGACATAAATCTTCCTGTATTTGTGCGCTTGAGACATACTACTACTACTACTACTACTACTACTACTACTACCACTTCCACTACTACCAGCAGCCTCCACTACCACCTGCATGACCCCTGCGTCAATGTGGTGGACAGCGCGCCACTGCCTCGGTAACGTTTAGAATAACATATTGTCATGCATTGTCATATATCTAAACATTGAATCTGTAACACTAGTCAAATAAACAATGAGTTAAAATGTGACAAAACCGACTGTTTTTTGTTCTCGAACAGAAACAACTGTAACGATGACATACATGCCGTTGTCAATGTTTTGTTGAATGAGGCTTGACAAAACATTTTAGACTTGGATTTGTCATGCAAAGCCTGAACAGGTCTTAATTCACCTGTCACGATGACACATACTCAAGGTGTGTTTTAACTGTTCAACAACTTCTGGTTTATTAAATAAGTTTCCTGGATTTTATTTACTTCAACAATGCATCATTTCATGTGAAACTTGTTTATGAAATACCTATGTACGAATATATTATGGATGCAAAGCAGCTCCTATTAAACGACATTTCAAACACCCCTTTGAGTATACACCGTGTTTTGAAGATTGAAAAATATCAAGTGTTTGCTATATTTTCTTTTCTTTAAATTGTGTTTGTGCGTGCGTATGCGTACGTGTTTGCGTGTGCGTGTCTGTATGGTTGATGGTACTTACGCATGTATATATGTAATATTAATGGAAAACGCCAGCAGTACTGGTCAGTTCCACACCCCGACCATATAAATACCTTGTTTTATTTCACTCTTAAAATATATCTAGTCTTCATACCACAATTATGGCGGTGGGGTAGCCTAGTGGTTAAAGCGTCCACTCGTCACGCCGAAGACCCGGGTTCGAATCCCTACATGGGTACAATGTGTGAAGCCCATTTCTGGTGTCCTCCGCTGTGATATTGCTGGAATATTGCTAAAAGCGGTGTAAAGCCAAACTCACTCACTCACTCACTCATACCACAATTAATGGATTTTCTTTAGTTAATTTTATCATTCCATATCTGAAACGGTATGTTTTTGAAAGTCTGCTTAGAATATACACGGAAACATTGATACTCGTGAAGATCAGGGTTAAAATTGATCGTCAGTAACCCACCCTTTTTAGAGGCGACAAACGGGATCGGGTGGTCAGGCTTGCTGACTGGGTTGACACATGTCATCGTATCCCAGTTACGTAGACCGATGCTGGAATATTGCTCAGTGCGGCGTAAAACTAAACTCACTCACTCACTGAACCATTGAAACACTGACCGTGTACTCAACTGGATATGGCCAGCTAGCTGTCTCTGTTTCCCGGAAGCCCTATATGCTTCTCACAAGTATTATCAGCTACTTTGTAAGGACATTTAATTTTACCTCATGTTGTGATTCGTTATTTGAAATGAGTTAAGATAAGAAAGAAACTTTAACTTTTCCTGACGTTTTAACACTACTTTCCTGATGTTTCGTCAGTGACCTGTCACGGATTATGAAGATATGGTAAAACATGTATTAAGGTCAAAACCGACCCTTCAACAGGAAACAATCCATACATCCATGCGGTGTATAACTCCTTTTGACCAGGGGCGGTGGGGTAGCCTAGTGGTTAAAGCGTTGGCTCGTCACGCCAAAGACCCGGGTTCGATTCCCCACATGGGTACAATGTGTGAAGCCCATTTCTGGTGTCCCCCGTCGTGATGTTGCTGGAATATTGCTAAAAGCGGCGTAAAACTAAACTCAGTCACACAGTCAGCCTTTTGACCAGACCATATTGTTATGGAATGAGATAACCTAGTATATCCCTTAGCGGCTACAGTGTTACTTATGTTTAAAAGAAGAAAATCGTTAAAACGTACGATATTACACCACCCACCTTTTCTGTAAGTTTTACTATGTGTGTATGGAGCTATATTTTATTTATGCGTTGTTTTATGGATTTTATGTGTCTCGTAGGCCTGTAAAGGCCGGGCAGATGTTTCATATGTGATACGGAAGATTTTATAGATGTTGTAAACATCTGCGTGACACAATAATAAAATAACTTCTCTAATTTCTCCCTCTCTCTGTAACGATATCCTGCTTGACAACACATAACTGACTACATGGATATGGACCAATTATCTTTTACGTGTGCCTCGTTGACTTGTACTAATCTCTGTGGCCTAGTCTGTCTCACAGTCCATGAACCATATTATTTCCCCAACAGCCTAGCCCTCCTTGCAATGTTAAAGCTCTAAATGAAGTAAGTCTAGACACCCCCAAGGTTCTGAGACACCTATTCAATCTAAATCGGACTATTTGTTACAATCAAAATTATATACATATTCAGAGACTAAGCGTTACTCTACTCTGAGGTCGTTCGAAAGGGTATAACTGGATAATTCAAATGTGTGTGTGTGTGAGAGAGAGAGAGAGAGAGAGAGAGAGAGAGAGAGAGAGAGAGAGAGAGAGAGAGAGAGAGAGAGAGAGAGAGAGAGAGAGAGAGAGAGAGAGAGAGAGAGAGAGAGAGAGAGAGAGAGGCTGATTGGGGGTACGCGTGTGTGTCAACGTACTGTCAAATACGTTACTGTCCTAACATCCATGAGTTCCCTGTTCAATTCTGATGTTCAGTCAACTTTAAGTCATGTTTACTGTTATGTTATGTTAGTGTGTGTGAGAGAGAGAAGCGATAGAGTGAGTGAGTGAGTGATTTATGTGGATTTTTTCGAAATTGAGAGGGTGGGTTAGAAATTGAGTGGATGAGTGAGTGAGTGAGGTCATATTAAGGCCGGTATGAGTCACAGTCTACATATGTTCCTAAATACTGTATATGCTCAATATCATCTTTAGCACAACTCTTTTTCAGACATTTGAAACCCCACCTATAAAGTTTGTGTATCAGTGCGTGAGTGTGCGTTTTAGTAATATAAACGTAATTAAATAGCAAATGCAGACGAACCACGTCTGAGTTATTTCTAACTTGAGCCACGGAACCATTTCATAAACTTCTGAAAGACACCTGACCTCCACAGTCAGGTATAACGCACATTGATAACACAGTTCCGCCCGACCGCCTTTGAAGTTACGTAACATTTCTTGAGATAGGGACAGTGACACAGTTCGGCAG